GTGTGTGTGTGTGTGTGTGTGTGTGTGTGTGTGAATCTCACACCTCTAATACCCTGTTTACACCAAAAGACCCGAGTTTATCCTGCGCGTGTGAACGCACTCGACCTGTGACCTTCGAGGAATCACAGCGTCGAGACGTTTGAACACACGACACAGGTCAGGCATCGTTTTAGATTCTGTAAGAAAATTGACCCACGTTGACCTTTTCTCACCCGCGTCCTCTGACCCGTGTGATTCTGTTGACAGATCTGTGGACAGGGAGGCGGTGAACTGAGCTGAATAAGGCAGGATGTGGTTATGAGCACATTCCCTATAGGTAGCTTAGCCTCGGGGCTTTCAGGGGCCCGGAGGTGTAAAATGTAAGTCTCAGGCTGCAGGCTGAGGTTCAGGGCTGGGATAAAGTCTGGGTCTACGGTGGGGGTTGGATCTGGGGCTCTAGGTGGCCTGGTCCAGGGCTCTCAGCAGGTCGCAGCCCTGGAGGAGGTGCAGGTTCCCCTGCAGCGGCACGTTGACCTCGCAGTCGTAACGGGTCAGCTCCGGCAGACAGGAGGGCTCGAACGAGGGGCCCAGCAGACGACTAGCTATACCTGGAGAGCCACGGAGAATTCAGAGTCAGGGATCGTCTACTAAAATACTAAAAGACAGAAGGTCGTCTCCAAGTCAACTAACAAAACCTCAAAAACGTATTTTCCCCACAACCCATGTTTGATCCTGTTAAAAATCTTTTAGTTTCAAGACTTTCCGTCTCGTCGAAACTATATTTTACATGTTTGCGTCGGTGAATGAGTCAGAAAACAATCTGCGGCACGTTCTGGTGCAGCTCACCCTCGGCCTTGTTTGACGGCAGCAGGTTATAATCGCTGTAGTTGCAGCTCTTCCGTGTGAAGACCTTCTGGTTTGTGCCACTCATCCCGTTTCCTGGGAACTGAGACTTTCTGTGCTGCTGCAGGGAGGCGAGACATGACGACATGCTGCCGGGCATCATCCTCGACTCTGAGGGACGAGAGCCAGACGTTACAGGTACAACTCTGAGAAAACATCTCACACACACTCAAACAGGACGCTCGTACCTGCCAGTGATCCTGCGCTGAGGGAGCGATCCATGGCGACGCAGCTCTCACCCCTCATCTTCTTCCACATGAGTTCTGACGCCTTGTTGTCGCCCTGCAGCACATGAACCGACTGATTAGAAATAACCTGTGAGGCAACGTGACCGATCAGTCACCTGGAGACTTTATTTATTTTAAAGGAGTTTTGATTTGAAGTGATTTTTTTTTTCTTCATTGTGAGAGAAACTCACTGCAGTCATCTGGGTGAAGGAGCGCTTGATGCTGTTGGTCATGGCCACTCGGGCCGGACTCATGTCTCTGTAGGCTTGGACAAAATTTTCAATGGACCTGCACAGACACAGCAAACACACGTTTCTATGATATAAATATTTCTGCCTGTCGGAGGAATCGGCCAAAGAAGAACCAGGATCAGGATATTTCAGAAAATCTGCGGTTTCAGGGGACTGATATTTATGAGCGGAGTTTGATGCAGATCCCAAAATCTGGATCCAGTGAATTTAAACGAGCACGGCTCAATTTTTTTAATATTACGTTTGCAGGTTTTTGATGATTCACTAGATGAATCTCAAAATCCATTAAGTATTCTCTGGGAAGTTTAACGGATTCTTTCTTGACCCACGTCTCATACGTTCAGTAGTTTTTTAATCCACTTCACTTGATTTTACTCTCTGTTCATGTAACATCACCTCTGTTTCTGCATGTGATGTGTCATGTTCTGTTGGCAGGACGGGTGCGTCTCTCCCGACACGCTCTCCAGCAGGAAGGCCTTGGCGGCGTGTGGCTGTTGTTGGTAAGTTAACAGAGGGTCCGGTGGCCACTGCAGATTCTGCCGGCCACCCATGGAGGACAGAGGGGTGCTTGCAGGGGCCTGGTACGGGGGACTCTGCATCATGTACGGCACAGCGTGAGGGTTCACCGCCGCCTGGCCGGAGCCCCTCTTCTCCCCCGTGGCCCAGGATGCAGCTGGACAGGCCTGATAGCGGCCCTGGGTGTGCGGTGGCGAGGACAGGGGCTGGAAGAGACTGGTGATGTTGCTGAAGCTCTGGTGGGACGCCTGGCGTGTTTGCAGAGTGCTGCTCCCCATCGACCCGGCTGGACTCCCCTCCAGGGACTCGGACTCTGGGATGATGGGGTTCAGCTGGAAGTCCTCTCCGTCCATCGGGATGTAGGGAGCCAGGGTCTCCAGGTCCAAGTCAGTCAAGTCCCTCTGGGAAACCGAAAGACGACAAAGATTGAGTATAGTGGAAAAGTTGAACATAAAAAAAATAGTTCTTCTGTTCCTGTTGTAAACTGAAGTCAAGCCTCTGAGTGTTTAAATAATGCCGTACTGTGTGTAGCTGCTTTGTAAAATGTTAACACAATGTCCTGGACAGAGCTGATCCAGGAAGACCAGGCCTCATAATTCAGAACAGGTCACCTCTGTGTTTGCAGGACTGTTGTTGTTGCTCTCTGTGTCCAGAGCAAACAGCTTCTCCGTCAGCTCCACCTTCAGGTCGCTCTCCACCGAGCTGTAGTAATCACCTGGGCTGCTCGGCTGAGAGAGAGAGAGAGAGAAAGAAATTAGTTTTCACAAAGCTGCCATTCACTGCTAAAAGCCTGTTCTGTCCAAATCTCCACCCCCGTTATTCTCACACACACTGCCCAGTGTGAGTGACCTTTAACCCCCCCGCCCCCCCTCCGGCCTCACTGAACACAGACAGAACAAACTACGAAACAAACGCCACCAGTTCCTCGCTCGCTGACTCATTACTCCTCGTCCTCACCGTGGAGCAGCTGCTGAGGCTCGGAGTGGCGCTGCCCGGCGGCGGGTTTTGCTGCACGGTGAATGTTCCAGCCATGTTAGTCATGTCTCCTGGAGCCGGGGTCTGACCTGGAGCGGCGGGCTTGTGGCTCTCGCTGCCCCAGGACGGAGGTCCTGGAGGGAGCATGGCTGCGGAGGACGCCTCGAACTGAGGACGACCTGCGGACGAGAAACGGAGATTAGATCCAGTTGAGACGAGAAGGGACAAAGAGTAAAAACACTAAGGAGGAGAAAGATGTTTTACACACGTTAACCTTTATTTACAGTCTCACTCTATAAAGGATAAGGTCAAATGTTCTGACAAACATGTTAAAGTAGCGACAGAAGTCAGCACAGACCGAAGTCCAGGGAAACGATGGTGTCCCCGGGTGTCGGAGCCAGCTGAGCCAGGTCCTCCGGCTCCTCCTTGAATTTGGTGTAGAGGTTGTCTCCAGGCTCTCCGGTCACACCTGCGCCTCCTGCAGTGAAGAAGCTGCTCATGTGACGCGGCTTGAACAGCGACTCCGTCTGCTCCAGGGAGAGAACCATCGACTTCTCCTCGATGTCACTGCGGGTCAAAGAACAGGCAGCCGGGGTTTTTAACAACGAGTTAGTGTCGTCACAGTTCACTGAAGTCTGGTGATGAAGAACAAGTGATTTTACAGGAAGCTGATTGTCTTTGTTGAGTTAATCTTTGTTGCTTTGGTTTGTGAGTCGTGAGTTGATGTGTCACATGAAATGAAAGCATAAAAACATCTGATACAGTACGTCATGAAAGATTAGGGAAGGATTAGGTCATTTTATTGTGACATCGTAAAAAATAAAAACGTCGTAAAAAATGTCCACGTAACCTTTAACAATCGTTTGAAGTCGTCACTGATGTCAGCACTAACGAAACACAGTTTCTGAACTGATCTCAGCTCAGACGTACAGGGAATAAAAATCCTCTGTGACGTGTCAGGATGAGCCACTGACCTGAGGACGTAGTTGATGCAGACGATGCACTGAGGCTGCGAGTTGCGACTGTTGTAAATGACAGTTCCCTGAGTCTCCACCCAGATGTAGCCTCCGTTCTTCGCCAGCATTCGGTACTGACCACTCACCGCCTGCCCCTTGGTGCACACTGCAGAGAGAGAGAGAGAGAGAGAGAGAGAGAGAGGTGAGTGACACACCCACGTGCAGAGAGAACCTGGGTCGATGCTCGTGATCATGTTCAGGTTAACAGAGGAGTCAGAAGAGAGACGCTTATGAGAGGAGGCGATGTTTTCATTTCACTGTTTGTCTGTGTTTTATTTAAACGTCTTAATTATTAAAATGATTAATTAAATATATTCACATTTATTTTGGCTGCGAAACCGAGTGAACGTCGGTTTACGGAAAAAAGAAAGTGGAAGTTTGACTTTGAGCCGAGAAGATGTTCTGGCTGGAGTCCAAAGTTCAGAGCTGGCGTGGGAACGGACCGAGGACCGAGGTCAGAGAGTGAACATGAGGCCAGTGACTCTGTGTGTGTGTGTGTGTGTGTGTGTGTG